AACGATCAAACTGACGTTTGTCAGAAAACAAGCAGACCCAATCTTGATACCCGATCCAGGTTGGAACTGAATAATAAACGAATTCGCTATTAGAGAGAGTTTACTTATTCTATAAAAAAATAATTTTAATTTTTAATTTGATTGATTATTTATAAGAAGAAGTTCGACCAAAACTGTAAAATAACGTACTAAACAAAGTCCTTGAGGGCTCATATTTAGCCAAATATTTAGTGTGATAAAATGATCTAACTCATTACTCGAGATCCAGTTGTGGGAAAACCACGCACAGTTAATAATATACCGCAGACATCGGTTGATGGAGACTTGTTGCAGTTTTTTAGAATTTTCAGTATGTAGGGGAAATGGATGTAATTTCGGCCTAAATGCCCCCTAATTTGGGCCCATAAATAAATTTTCAATAGCGACCAAAAATATCCATGAGTACCATTCCAATGACGCGTTCATCTAGATAAAATTAATAAATAGCAGATTTTTAGCGATGGGCCCAATCTTAGATCCATAGGCCAACATTAGAATCATTTCCGCTATGTGCCACGTTTGCGTCGTTGTTGAATATTCTGGTTTTGGTGCATTTGATATCCATTAACCGAATCCTGATGAATGTGGGCGTCTAGTGGAATACCTGTATAAGGGAAGAGAGAAAGGTTAGTAATTTTCATTTAATTCCACTACCTTATTTGCTTATCCTTGACAGCTACGCTTATTATTGACGTATCCATTTACCGTTTTCACAAAATCGCAAAGGCAGCCCTAGTCTTCTTGATTCGTGCAGCAAAAGTGCCACACCCAATAATGTAAGGACTTGTAAAAATGATGGGGGGTTCGCAATAATGAGATGGCCACCTACATTAATATCGTAATCACGGCTCTGAGTGGCTAGGTCACTATTTTCAAGTCAGTTACTAAAAAGTCATAAAAGTCCCTTTTTTACGACTGTGTTCTAAAATGGAAAAAAATATGGATCTTTTTTCCCTAGAGCCTAACTTTTTCATTTTACCCATTATAGCACAGCACAAATCGGTGAATCAAAAAGTGGTACGTTTTTCTGCTCAATAAGCGATGCGTTCTGGAGATCTTCCTCACAGGCTTTCTATGGGAACTCACACTATCATAGCATGCTGCATATTTTAACTGCAGGCAGAAGATGTCATCTACCGCTAGGTGCGCTAGTGTTCGCCAATGAAAGGTGGAGCCAATTTCTGATCCGAAGTTCCACTTCTGTTCTGTGCATATAGTGTCTTCAGAAGAATTATTTGGATGGATATTCCCCACAATCTGGAAGTGACAAAAAAACAAACTTTTTCCTTTGGAGATATAGAGGAGTTCTGGTAGTTCCCTTTAGTTTTTTATAAATAGCTTTTTAGTGTTAATTCCTTAAGCATACGGTCAAAACATACGTTTTTGTTCAAGACTAGAAATCGCTATAATCATTCCTTGTAAAGTTATAGTACACTTGAGCTTTATTTTTCCTTAACTTCATGAACTTACTGGTGAACAAGCCTTTGGCTGAAAACCTTGTATTTAAAAGGAAAAAAAAAATCAAGACCTTATGGGAGATAATGAGGCAAGTGGGGACGCAAAATCAACCAGTTTGCTTGAAGCTTAACTCAAGTACTAGAAGGTTTGACTTGTCGCCCTCTTCCCATATTTGAAAATGTAAGCCTTATATGTTTATATTTTTTCATATATTTTTTATGTGTATTATACACAATTTTTGTGTGTTTCATTTTTTAAGAAGTATTCTGTGCCCTAATTCCGTTTACCTTGTGTGGCGGTGATATGGCATCTTTGCTAGAAGAGACGATTTTTCGGCGGTGCCGTCAACGTCAATTGCGTTTGTTTTGAAAATCTTCGCTGATTGTCAAAATCAGAATCGATCCTCAAAAGGCAAATAATCAAATTAATTTTGGACACAATGATTATTTTGAATATTATCGACCCCAGAGTCTAAAACCTCGATATTATCATCAATTCAGCATGAGGCAATAATTTGCCATCGACCTGTGTGTAAAAACCAAAACGACACGGTCTTCAGCACTGTTTGTATAAAATGAAAATAATCATTTTTCATTTGATCCTCAAAATCTTCTCCACCAAGATGAAGACGAATATTGGCGTTGACGAGAGCTCTGTAACTCTTTACTCCTATGGAGAAATCTCATATGTAACTGTCAGTCTATGTGTGGCGGACTTTTTCTTATTTTCTCACTCCAACGCAAAACCCCATAAGGAACTGTCAAAATGTGTGTGAAGAAACGTCACTTCGGGACTGGTGTCAAGGCGAATTAATATTGACAACAACAGAGACGATAATGAACATCCAGTCGCGAATGAAGAAAAACAAATCAGTGCCAACATTTCAAAGGGGGCGTAATTGCATTTGTAAACAATGGCTTTAGTCGTCGATTTCTCGCGAATGAAAGCTTACTCATGAAAATGAATGACACCAGCACGCAGAGGAATATGTTTCCTGTATCAGCTAGCATTTTTAATTTGGAGGTGTGGGTTTTCATTTGCGAGAAATCGATGTCTAAAGCCATTGTTTACAAAAGCAATTACGCCCCTTTGAAATGTTGGCACTGAAATGTTGACCTTGAATACTCAGAGGTTGCCTTGATCCAATGACGTTCATATAAGGTCTGGGCCAAAGGGCTTATTGGTGTTAGTGAAATGTGCAAATGTTTAGTGGTGTTCGTATTTTATTGCAATGTTTATCTTTTTACACGACACAGCTGTTGGCAGTGACGTATTTCTATCTGTTCTCAGTATGTTGGCAGTGACGTATTTCTATCTGTTCGGAGATGTTCAGCAATGTTTACAACATTTTTGCTTCTAACACCAGCAAGCTGCCTGTTGGCCCAGACCTTATATAAATGTCATTGGCCTTGATCAAGAGAATGTTGTTATGTCAAAATGCAAGTTCATTCAGGTAGTTCGTCTATCTGCCAAGGTTGTCTTTATTTTCAGCTAAGTTGAGTGTTGAAGAAATGATTTTTATCAGCACTATCTACAAAAAATATAATTAAGCATATCGCTGCACTTCTGCCACGACAATGGATACAAACTTAATGGCCTTGCTCCGTATTTCGTTCATTTGTGTGCCTTATCTTCCTAAATTACCCCACAAAACAGTGCAGTGTACGATCCATATAACCCCGAACAAACAGCTACAATAAAACTTAACATGTTAAGCCTGGTACGCAGCTGAAAAGAAAACGGAAAAGTAATTTTTGAGGATTATTCCCAAAAGAAAATTTGACAGCTATCGGGAGGTGTCTTTGCTAAATTTTTAGTTCATAGTGAAGTGTCAAATTTAAAATAAAAAAAATTATCAGTTTTATGTTGTTAAAATGCATCCAAAACATAATTTGTACAACAAACGTTAAAATTACCTAACGTAATAATTGAGCATTAGCATGATTGACCGCCCACGGTTGGTGATCTCAACCTAGGCAATACCAGCGCCGACCGCGCTCGATCACAGGTCAAGAAAGGAATGGGTAGGAATGTGTTGACGTGACACTCGCTTTGATGGAAGCCGAGAAATCCTCTGCCCTTCCACGAGGAATCACTGGGATGTTGGGTAAGACCCCGTTCACATTACAGTCTATATCACGTAATATAGGCTGTCTTGCAATGAGCAATCATACATAGGATTTCCAGTGAAAACTAGATGTATGAGTGCTCATTGCCAAGACACCGTATATCACGTGATATACGCTGTAATGTGAACGGGGTATATTTCATTCAGAATGCGCCACCTTCATGCCGATCACGATACTAATTTAATCGATTTTTCCTTTACCGATTTCTTTTGAACTGCGTACTGGGTCGAGAAATGATAAAGAAACGTAATTTCTTTAGCATTCCGTGTTCTATCTTGTAGCACGTAAAAACGACATAACTTTTCAGCTGCGTACCAGGCTTTAAGGACGACAAACGCTCATAGTTTTAACCCTTTCCGTCTCATTTGTTAAGGCTTATTACAAGGAACTTTTTTAAAAAATATGTTAGAACTTGGTCATAACAAAACTACAAAAACATAGAAACATTCGATAAGATTTCTTAGGGCGATCTAGCACGTTCAAATTACTCTGGAGTTCTGATCCTTGTATTTACAGACTCAAAAAGAGTTCATGGGATACGCTATCCAAACATTATTTTAGGCCTGATATAGCCTAGGCAGTAAAGGCACGGTATTACCAAGTCGGAGGCGGCGGGTTCGATTTCCGGTTCGGTCGAGGAAAAAATGACAGTGCTAGATTACTTATTTTCACTGGGATTAGACGGTGGCCTCTTGGTATACTCTAGTCTCTAGGCTATTACAATTTGGCCCAGTAGATTATGAATTGGGAGCTTTCCAAGCCTACCTGTGGATATCAGCGCTACAGTCTAGTGAAAATGACTCTAATGTTGGCCTATTGACCTAAATATTGGATCCATCGATTAAAATGTTCTTCAATATTACTTCGTAGAACAATGCGTCATCTGAACAATACAAATTAATATTTTTGGTTGCTTGTGAAACATTGTCAAAAAATGGTTTACTTCGAAATGTATGAAGGGGTAAAATATTAGGGACACTATCCTATGTGTCGAAATCCCTTTGGATTTTCTTTTCCTTTTCAGATTACCCAACATCACCTGGCACCTGGTAAGATGACCGATGTGTCTCGTATCCATAACCCTAATTTCATTTCAGCAATCCCATCTGGATCAGTTTTGCACAATACATTTTTTGCGTCTAAGCTATTTGCACATCACTCTGCACACGCCTGGATCCTCGTAGCGAACGTATCTGCGTGTTCATCACAGGGGGGTCATCGTGGCTACACGTCCGGAAGTGTCCAAACGAGAGAACCGCGTGCGTTCAGGGGGAGTCGAGCAACCCAAAGCGAGAGACAGAGAGAGCCAGAGCAGCGTAAGCCTATATGATGTTTTTTCTCTTTTCTTTTTCGTCCCTTTTCTGTTTGATCTAGACCTCTGATTCCGATGATCTTGGATCAGCACTATATCAACCTAAAGTCACAGGTGATCAAAGCGGAAAGACGAGTCCTAAAGGAGCTTGGATTCTGCGTGCACGTGAAGCATCCTCACAAGCTGATTGTCATGTACCTGAAGTACCTGGAGTTGGAAAAGCATCAGAACATGATGCAGATGGCGTGGAATTTCATGAACGACTCATTTCGGACGGATGTTTTCGTACGGTACCAACCAGAGACAATCGCTTGCGCGTGCATCTATCTGACTGCCCGGAAGTTGAACATTCCGCTTCCTAACAACCCATCGTGGTTCCTAATATTCCGGGTTAGCGAAGATAATATGTTGGATGTTTGCTATCGGATAATGGCTCTGTACAAAAGATCGAAACCAAATGCTGAATTGTTGGAAGAAGCGGTGGAGAGTCTCAAGAAAAAGTATCAAGATCAGAAAAAGAAGGATCGATCCGATACGAATACCCCGCCAGCGGTGGTAACCGTCGATCGGAACAACGGATCCCACAACGCGTGGGGCGGTTTCATCTCACGAGCTCTCCCCGTGACAGCCAGCGGGGACAACAATGGGAACAACAACACCGAAAAAGACCGGAAAAAGTCACACTCAAAATCGCGATCACGTTCGCCACGATCCCGATCAAGATCGCACTCTCGCTCGCGTACACCCTCACGGTCACGTTCCCGCTCACCGTCCAGATCGTCGCGTTCGAAATCTCGCTCTCCTCGGTCGAGGACCCCGTCACGCTCGCGCTCCCGGTCACGATCCTCCCCTACGATACATTCGCCATCGCACTACAACGACAAGAGCGGTTCGCGAAAAGGCAAAAAGACTCGCCATCGATCGCGGACACCGTCGAAGTCGTCCAGCAAAAAGAAGTCCAAGCACTACTCGCGTTCGCGCTCGCCTACACCCGAATCACCACCAAAGTACAAAAAGAGGTGAGTTCTATTTGATTTATTAATGACGATGATCGATAGGCTAATCCTATTTTTTCTTGCATTTGATTTCAGCGGCGAAAAGAAATACGACCGCCGACGAGACGACCGAGACGGACGCGACAATCGGTACATCAACGGAAGCGATCGCGATCGCTCGTCGAAGGTTGATCGGGAAAGGGAACGGGACCGGAATCGTGATCGTGAACGACACCGGGACAAAAGTGGCTACGATCGTGACGACTATCGAAAGGACCACCGCAGTAACCACGGGAATGGCGACAAACGGGACAAGTATAGTAGCAGTAGTCACCGACATGGCAGCAGTAACGATCGACATAGATCTACGAAGCACGGGGACCGGGACCGAGATCGTAGAAGATAAGATGATGTTGCTGTACTTGGTCGGGTGTTTTTTTTTTCAAGTTACGGATATGCCATTTTAGAGAGAATTTTTCTTGTTCTTATCATTTTGTAAGAGTTTCAATTTTTTATTTTGGTTCACGAACAAACATGATCCGTTGTGTAGATAGTACCAGATGATTGATGTAAAAATATGATATGATCACATTGAGCTTTAAATTGACACATTTTTTTTGCATTCAAATCATCGACCTACGAAAATGGTTACATTCAAATGGAGTATAATTGTTTTTCAATTTTAGAAGAGAAATACCGGAGTGATAAAGATTTTCTCCTTACTCAATCTCGCTATCACGAGTTCGTAAGATAACTGTGCCGGTAAACTTTGGGCATGTGTATAAATTTTCTCACTTTACACTGAAAGTAGTGAAGATAAAACTAAAATAAAATAGTTTCAAATGGAAGTGGTCGAAATGGTTGTTATTTTGAAAGAACATTCCAATTGGAAAAATGGGGCTCTATTATGTAAGTCGAGTCGAGCGTCACTTTCTGGCCACTGATCTAATTTGGTATAACTTCTGTAAAAAGTCCGATCTCCATTTGCTATAATTCACCCATATCGCACTTCAAGTTGACTCTTAGACCCTTATTACCCATGTCACTTCACGGTGAAGTGACAACTTATCACTCCCATTTGATTTGCACGGCAAACACTTCACCGTGAGTGACAACTGGTCACTTCACTTCGGTTTCACCGTGAAGTGACATCCGTTATAAGGGGCTTAGAGAAATTTGTAGGGGAAGGTGGAAACTCTTGTTCCGGACGAGGAAACTTTATAAAATAGCAGCATTAAATTAGACGATTTGCAAAAAAATACTTCAAATTCACAATGCATCATCGTGATAATAAATTATGGAGATCAATGTTTCCCATCTTCTCCTATTCAGCTTTGCTCGGTAATGGCGGCATGCACGGGTTTTAAAACGCATTGTTCACTGTACTTTTTTTGACACGCAGGGAGGAGTGAAAAATCAAGCATACAGTTAGTTTAGTTGAAGATGCTAATTTCAAATAACAGACGGAAGTGGTAATTTATATACGATAGAGTGAAGAGATTTTTTTTTCCTTTATTTAACGTCGGTCTCTGTTCCGCAATCTAGTGCCAATCACCGACGGACATCGATTGCCATCCATTGACGGCAATCGAATGTGCAAGAAGGCAGCTTCCACACCTGCGTAGGATATCGCACCCATTTTCAACACACATGGGCCGGGACCAACGGCTTTACTTCCCTTCCTAAGGAAGACGTGACCAGAGATTTTCATGCCTCAGAAAAAACCCACCGACCTCGACTGGGATTGAACCCAGACCCATTGGGGTGAGAAAGCAGTCACGCTTACCACTACCCCACCGGCAGTGTACAGCATTGTGTAAATTGCATATAGAGGGTATAATCATCGAGGTATAACCAAGCCGGAGGCGGTGGGTTCGATTCCCGGTCCGGTCGAGGGAATCGGTTGGAAATTTTCTCGACTTCCCTGGGCATAGAGTATCATCAACAATCAATACGAAACTAACGATTTTAAATTGGCTCACCACTTTAGTAGCCTATTGGTCCCAAGCAAACGATTAACGTACCCTATTCTAGTCGAAATTCTAGTACTACGCAATGTTTGTTTTGATTCGCTATGAAAGTTTGACAGATAAAATGAGGGGTTATTGGTTTTTTCTATGTTTCGAGGGGTGAATCGATTAGCTTGGGACCGAAGAGAGTACAAGCAACAATCAATACGAAACTAACGATTTTAAATTGGCTCACCACTTTAGTAGCCTATTGGTCCCAAGCAAACGATTAACGTACCCTATTCTAGTTGAAATTCTATTACTACACTATGTTTGTTTTGATTCGCTATGAAAGTTTGACAGATAACATCAGGGGTGTGTGGATTCATGCAGAACATGCAGGGGTGAGTGAAATAGCTTGGGACTGCTTGGGACCGTTGTTCTGGTACTGAGTGAGCCAAAAATAATAATGATTTTCTTCGGGACCTACTAGTCTTAGAGTTACCTCTATGGTACAAGAGCTGAGCCAAAAAGTTGAGCACGTTATTTCGGGACCTTCTAGTCTTAGAGTTACCTCTATGGTATCATTGTGCTTGCCACACAATATACAAATTCATGCATTGGTATTGGCATCGAAAGCTCTCAATTAATAACTGTGGAAGTGCATTTGAAACACTAAGTTGAGAGCACGCAATAAGCTAATATGCGCTAAGCAATAAGCTAATGCGAACAAGAAGAAGAAGATCCATGACCACTTACGCTTGGCGTGTTTAGTGTAGGTGACAGCATCACGGACCTCATTTTCCAGGAACACCTTCAGCACACCTCGTAGATCAGACCGGAGATACGTCATACACCGCCACGGCGAGCCAGACGACGGATGGTGGTTATCTCGAAGAATTTGCGATGACGATTGGCACCTCCTTTGCCACGACCAGTCAATTGTTGCTTGTTGGGTTATAGAAGAGTGGACTAGCCACCACCTTCCTACTCCTGCTATTGCTGACCACGCCGTCCGAAGTGAAAATGAGCTGATACTAGACAGCAGCGCTGCTTTATATCTTTTCAGGTTAAAGCAGAATGATGCGCAACCAAGTGGTATAAAAGCTACAAAGACTCCTCCCATCATGAGTAGTTTGCTATCAAGTAGCGACACTGGCTCTTTTCCTTTTGCATACACGGCGAATGAGAACGACCCAAATTTGAGTTTAGTTCACTCATAATCGCCAAAAGTGCAGGAACTCAGCGATGAGTAAATTTGTCTCATGGTTACCCGTGGAAAACCTAAAAAATCTGCCAGAAAATAAGAAAAAAAAATATTCAGTCTCGGAGTAGTACCAATAGACTCAGTGAATCCAATCTTTACTTTCTCAAATTCGGGAATTTTTCCCTGGAAAATCCTGGAAAAACCTGGGAAAACATGAGGCAAATTTACTCATCGCTGAGTTCCTGCACTTTATTTCTTATTGCTGAGCTAACTAAACTCAAATTTGGGTCGATCTCAATCGCCGTGTTATCACCTTGAAAGATATCGGCGCCGGTGGTTAGCGTGATTACCTCTCACCCCAGCAGGCCTGGGTCCAATCTCAGTCGGCGCCACCGGCATGTTCTAAGGCATAACATCTCTGATCACGCCTTCCTTCGGGAAGTAAAGCCGTTGGTCTCCGGTTGAGTTGATGGGTCGATTGGTAGGATCCAGGTGTGGGAGCGCCTCCCTGGCGTCGGTAGCATTGGAGCTCAGTACGGAAAAAAAAATCTCGCTTCACTTTTTAATAGGTCCTATCTACATTGATCAATTCTCTTCATTGACACTCTCTTTCGTAAATAACTCGACTTCACAAATGTTTCCTGCCGTCTTCGTCGAATTAGATGCTAGATTGCTGCTTCTTCCATCGAAAATATCCGGCTGTGGCGATTCAAAGTTGATCAAGGTTGATCAAAATAATTGGTACCCCTGCTTCCAGTTTGATTACATGAGCATTTTGTGTGTTCGTTGGTTCTGAATGTGGAAAAACAGGCAGATGAATTCTATTCCTACTCTTTAATGTAATAAGGTTGGTGCCCTGAAAAGAGCCGTTTTGTTGCCAAAGTTGGTGATGATTTAACCTCCGAAACCAAACAGAGTGCGTCTCTGTCACTTCAAAACGTAGATGGCATCCATGGCCGCTTACGATTGGCGTGTTTAGTGTAGGTGACAGCATCACGGATCTCATTTTTCAGGAACACCTTCAGCACACCTCGTATGTATAGGTATTGAACATTTTTCATTACTTAAAATCTGTGATTCTCGGTATGAAAAGTGAAATATCGGTAGTTTTGAACGTTTCGTTTGTGATTCGGTAGGCATCCCGAAAATCAGGCTTGCAATTGCTCATTACAGCTAAAATGCTAATTTTCGGAATTATGAAACTATTAGATACTATTGGCGTCTTGCAGTGAAACTTTTCCAAGCTTTCGCCACCTACATTTCGAAGTGAGAACTACTAGAAGGAGGATAGTTTCCAAATTCGCCAAATAAAACAAACGATTTTGGGGGCAAATCGGTACATAAAGCAAAACTAATAATTTCCGGTGGAAACTTTTGCTTGAATCGTGTAAGAAAACGTGTTTGCAAACTAATTGTTATTATTTCGGTATGGATCGTTTTGTTTTCATGGAAAATTATGCGTAACAAGTTTGCACCCACAGGTAGAGGTTACCTCCTGCGCAGCTGCATTTTTCGGAAAATGGTGAATATATGCGATTTCCACTAGGATAACAGTGGAAATTAAGTGAATTTACTTAGGAAAAATTGTATCATGCTGGTGATAATGGAAAAATGGTTGTATAGGACGCCAATATTTAATAAATGTTCATATTGGCCTTTTTTAGGTAAACATATTGATACTCACAATTTTCAACGGAAAACGCAACGGAACTTGATTTACTCAACACGCACAACACAACACATGGATGACAAATCATCTTTATTTAGAGTAATTGAGCAATTTACTTCTGTTTACATCATATGTACGATGCAGCATTGATGGAGCTGTGAAATGAAATGAATATATCTTATGAAAGTTCACCTGGAAAAGTCAAAGATGCACATCAGTCTGATCGTGAAAACATTTTCTTCTTCAATTCGAATGTTATATTGGAAGGATTTTACGCAGGCTTGATGAAAATTATGATTTAATGCTAATTTTCACGAATTTTATATGCAGTCTGTCAACATTATCATCATCATGCAGTGGCGACATCTGCGTCGAGCTTTTACGGCAATCTTCCAATAATGATAATTTTTATCTGTAATAGTACGTTCAGACTACAGAGTTATAACATGTTATAGCGCTATCTTGATGGTGGTCTCTGTGTTGCAATTATTTGACAACCGTTATAACATGTTATAACTCTCCAGTCTGAACAAGGCATAAAACGCTGTCCAGACTGGAGAGTTATAACATGTTATAACGGTTGTCAAATAATTGCAACACAGAAACCACCATCAAGATAGCGCCTTAACATGTTTTAACTCTGTAGTCTGAACGTACTATTATGTATCATACAAATATTTTACCTTCTCTCCTTGTCAATAAGAATTACCATTAAAATATTTCATAGCTTCATAAATCCGAAAAATAGCATTTTAGCTGTAATGAACATTTGCAAGCACTAATATTTAGCGGTGCCGGTGGTGTAGTGGTAAGCGTGATTACCTCTCACCCCAGCAGGCCTGGGTTCAATCCCAGTCGGCACCGCCGGGATGTTCTGAGGCATAACATCTCTGATCACGCCTTCCTTCGGAAGGGAAGTAAAGCCGTTGGTCCCCGGTTGATGAGTTGATGGGTCGATAGGTAGGGTCCAGGTGTGGGAGCTGCCTTCCTGGCGTCGGTAATATTGGTGCTCAGCACGGAAAACA